GGGTAAACCCTATCAGTCGACCCCTTAATAGTAATTAGTCTCTATTTTCTACAAAGACTAAACTGCCCTTACTTAAGTGTGGGGCAGAGTGTCTCTAATAAAACTGCCACATAAGCATACAACTTAACAAAGATAAGATGACTAAACTACCCTTATTCGGCTCACTTTAACAATCACCATCAAGAACAAAACAACAAAGGGGGATTTGAACCCCAAGACTAGAGAAGGCATGCAATTAATAAGATAGCTGTCATGGTTGCGTCACCCCAAAATTTCACTCGAACATGGGGGGCAAAAAGGATACTCCTGGCTACTTCAACATGTTGGTTCTTTATTCTTCTTAATAGAAAAGATTTTTATTAAAAATAAAGAAAAAAATGAGATCCCCCCTTCCTCTTCATCCTCCTCCTAACCCCCCTCCTCTTAAGAAGGTTTACGCCTCCTTGTGTTCGGGAGGCTTACGCCTCTTGCATTCTGAATTACGCCTCACGCCTCTAGGTAGTGGAACGCCTCGCGTCATGCCTCCGCGTTTTAAAACATTGTTGTAGATCTTTTATTACTTGTAGGATAAGAATTTCTACAACTTAGTTTCTTTAAATAAAGCTGGAAACAAAAGACTCGATGAAGAAAAAGAAAGATGACCCAAATGGTAATGACATAACATAATACGATTAACTAACTCTGACACATTAGAACCAAAGGTTGTTCTTTGAGGTGATACTTGACTTTGCTTAGGCATATCCAACAAGTATATCCCAATCGCCTCATGGCCACTCCTAATCACCTTTCGAGATGTCTTGAAAAACATAGTAGGAAGGGAAAAAAGTTAAAATGTAGTTTATGGATTTTGTCAAATTACTAACCGAAATTAAGTTAGTCTTAAGCTTAGGAACATGAAGAAATGAAGATAAGGTGACTTGTCTTGACCAAGTAAAAGGTAGTAAGTAGAAAATAAATGGGACACACTAGTCATATGGTTAGAGGCACCAGAGTCAATTATCCAGGGATCCTACGATTACTTGAATGTGCATAAATAGAAGAACCATTTCCTAAGGAGGTAGTAGTTGCAAACTTGCAATGGTAGATTTTAAGTGGCTAATGAGTTGGCCATACTTCTCATACTCTATTCTAGTGCCTGCAAGCTGTTCCCCTACTAATTTTTCATCACTAGAACCTTTCTCAATCTTAGAAGAGGTGGCTACATTGGCATTGCCACCTTTCCCACTCCCATTCTTCTTGCCATTATTATTGTTCTTGAATCTAAGAGTATGAGCTCTAGATGTAGTTTCTAACAGGTATCTTTCATGTGCTTAGGTTTCTTGCAATACTTAGACACTACATCTTTCTTCTCAGTGGTAGCCCTTGGCTTCATTCCATGTTTCCAACATTGGCAAAGTGATCAATTGGGACTTCTGCAACCTACACCTATCTCCTACTCTCCTCACTACTAATCATAGCATAAGCCTGAGATAAGGTTACTTCATCCTTTGCTAGAATATTTAGTCTGAAAATATCTACTTTGGGTTGAGTCCAGTATGAAAGTTAAAAACCCGGTTCCTCTCCACTAACTTCCTATGAGTCTCAACATCCTTGATACACCTCCACACAACAGTCTCCATCAGGTCAATCTCCTACCAAAGAGGTTTAAGCATAGAGAAGTAAATTGCTAAAGGCTTCTCTCCTTGTCTTAGATTATTCACATCACTCTTTAGCTTGTAAGCCCTAGTAACATTTAACTTTTGGGAATAAGTCTTTGTGTCTCTATCCCACACCTCCTTTGCAATACCCATTCATAGATAATGCTGGCTGATATGAGACTGAATGGAATTTACTAACCAGCCTGCAATTGTATAACTTTCCTACATCCACCTTTCATAGGTAGGGTTATCCTCCTTAGGTTGCTTCTTACTTCCAGTGGTGTACCCCCATTTCCCTCCATTGTAGACATGGATCTTAATTGACTGAGACCATGCCAAATAATTAGTCCCGTCTAACTTTACTAAGGTTATTCCCCCAATTGAGTCTTCACAAACCCTCCTAGGTCAAACCTGGAGTTTGTAGGTCATTTCATCTCACCTCCAGTTTGCTCCATTGGCCAAACGGAAACAAATGAAAATAAAATTAAGGTGTTACTAGTCAAGACTAACTGCCCTAAGGTCAAAACTGCTCTTCAATCAGCCAAAAATAGGATTTCACCAAACCCAACTCGGGAGAAAGGGAGAAAGTCTAGCCGCTCCTACCAGAGGCTCTAGAAGCCTCTCCAACTTGGATTGATCTCGAAGGTAATCAAGAAACTTCTATTTCTTGCCCCAAGCGTCACTTCCAAACTCTCTCTATACCCTTTAATCCAAAAACTCTTCAATTAGCTAGGGTTTTTGGGAAACTCTCCAAGAACTTGCCTTGGGTATAGAGGAAGATGGAAGAGAAAAGAAGGAAGATGGAAACTCTACAATCTTCTCCAGAAACCTCCTCTAATTGGGCTGAATAATTGTTAATCAATCAACCAATCAGCTCTCCGTACAACCTATGTATGGGACTAAAATAGGAAGAAAAAAAAGAAGGTAGGAACCTTGCTCTAATATCAAGTTGTGAACCCCACCTGTATAAATCCAAAAATAAAGCAGAAAAGAAAGAGGAAGATGGAAGAGAAAAAGTGTAGAAGAATAAGATGGAAGAGAAAGGAAGAAAGGGAAGAAGGAAGAGAGTCAACGAACCTCTGTCCAGTCTTCCTAATGATCTTTTATTCTTTTGATTGTAATGTGAATACAATTACATGAATACCCTTAATAGGGTGGCCAGCATTAAAAGCGATAAGAAAAGAAAGAAAGGAGGCCCATAACTAAGGACCATTAATCACAAAAATAAAGCATAAACAGAACTAAATAAAAAGAAGGAAACTGTGGCCCATTCGGCACATCATCTCTACAGAAATCAATTAACATTATATATTCTAGAGAAACGAGATCTTTGTAAGTAATCTTACATTGGTTTTCCTGCTTCTCCTATGGTTTGTTTTTCAATTGCTTCCTTTAAAATATTCCAGTATTTTAAAGTTCCAATTCAACATGGAAACTGATGACTCTTTTCAGGAATTAATTGCTGGGTTTGACCAAGAAGCAGCTGCGGTAGTCATGACACGTCTAGTTTCTTTGAAAATGGAAACTGAGGTATTGCAAATCAATTACATAATTCTGTTCATTATTTAACTTGGTTGGATATTAGAAATAGTTCCCCGGAACACCTAATTTTTTTTCATTAATGAATGATCTTGTTTAGTAGATATTTGAGTGCTTATTTACTTATGTACATCATCTTTAACAAGGCTTTATGTATGTATGTATGTATGTATGTATGTATGTTCGTACTGAAGTCATCTAGGCTTTAAGTGAAACTTTTTAAAATTTTCATAATAGGACAATGTGTCTACCTTTGGGTATTTTATTTTCTGAATCAAATAACATCGGTTCCAGCTATCTAGGGTCTTGGGAGGGGTAGACTAGATATAGTTAGGGCTGTCATTGGGTGGGGTCTACCCAACAGAACTGAACCAACTGAACCGATTATGTCAGTTCTAGTTCTGTGGTTTTGTCCCAATTAATAATTGGGTTGGGACCGGTTCTTGCTGTTCCAAGCTGATTATATGGTTAATAACATATAAAGGCCTCCTGGTTTTCTTGTAATTTTTGTTATATTATTTGTCAAAAGGGTAAATTTCATAGGTTGTATATAAGATAATTTTGGTTAAAACACTTCTTATCATTTTTATTAAGGTCATTTTATCAAAAATAAAGTTTTAAATTGTTGTGATCAATATTTTAAAAGCACAATATGCAAAAAGCAAAAAAAAAAACAAAATGCAAGGGCCAGTTTGCACCCAAGGCGCACAATGCACAAGGTGAGGCACGCGCCTTTTTGAAGCAAGGTGCAAAAATGCAAAAAAATGGTAAATAAATTCAATAAAAGCCAAAAAATATTCAAAATATTAAACACAATATAATTAAAAATATACTTAAATTTTAAAATAAATATTTTAAAAACTATTGTCTTAAATTAAAATACATAAACATATCATGTAAAACATATTTAAAATGAAAATTTAAAAATAAAATAAAGCATAACATATAAAATATATTCAATCATGTAAACTCTTAATCTCTTTATTTTTTCCGAATTGCATTACTTTAAATAGCTAATGTGATGTTAAACATTATGCATTCCTGATTCTATGAGCCACCTTTGTACCAAACCCCCTGAGGCAAGCCCAAACAAGTCCATATTTGCTAATGTTTCTCATTCATTCATCCTAATAAAATATATTTTTCAAAGACACCTAAGTTATAAAACCTTTTTTATAGGAATTAAGAATTTAAGACCTTAATATGGACTTGTTTAGGCTGGCCTCAAGGGGCTTGGTACAAAGGCAGCTCATAGAATCAAGAATGCATAATGTTTAGGCTGGAATATGTTTTATATGCTATGCTTGATTTTATTTTTAAATTTTCATTTTAAATATGTTTTATGTCATACAAGTATTTTAATTTGAGATAATAGTTTTTATTTATTTTCAAATTTAAGTTTATGCTTTTAATTAATATTGTGTTTAATATTTTTAATATTTTGGATTTTTCTTGATTTTTACCATTTTTTGCATTTTTGTGTCTTTCTTCAAAAAGGTTTGTGCCTCACCTTGCGCTTTTAAAACATTGTGTTCAACCAAGTCCACCCAAGTTGTACCCCTACTTCAGCTACCAAATAAGATATGACCCCATTCAAACTTCTTGGAAAAAACCATTCAGTTTGCCTGCCCCACCATTAACTATTTCTGCCTATCCTAAAATATGGCCACCAAGAGCAAGAGTAGGACTGAATTATTCAATGCATCATCAGTTGAATCTTGTGAAAACTAACATGCAAAAAGACGTGATTTTCAGATATATTTGTCAGTGATTTAGTTTAAGAAGAAAAGGAGAGGAGAAAAGAATGAGAAATTTGTAAGAGGCAAAAATATGGGGCACAGTCCTCTCATTATCATTTATACTAACACAAAAATCAAAACTTAACCCTCAATTAGTATAATGTTGAAAGTGACAAAAGTACCCTCACAATGACACCTCTCAATACATTTAACTTAGATATTACACATTGCCAAGCTTTCAGATATTGTCTTCCAACTTGGACCAAGAAACCCCTTTAGTTAAGAAATCAGCTAACTGATCACTAGAATTCACAAATGGTAAACAAATGTCACCACTTACAACCCGTTCACTAGGGTTCTTATATACAGGAGGTAGTGCCATGCATATGGCCTACTGAAGAGTTTTTTGGGGCATTTTAGATCATTCCTTTTGCAGTTTGTTGGGGCATTTGGAGAGAACCAAATAAGAGAACCTTTGAAGACAAGAGATGATGTCATGTTAATGACAGATATTGGTCCTTCTTTGATGGAGTGGGCCCTTGCTCATTCCAAATTCAAAATTTTGAGCAGAAATGATTTTGGGGAGAAGTTGTGGGAGTTATTAGAGTATTATAGTGGATAGATCCTTGCTTTTGTTTTTCCATGTCTTTCTTTTGGTTTTTGGGATCTTTGGATATACTCCTTTTGTGGTGAAATCTCTTTACCTGTTTGAATCCTTTTCTTTGTAATGTAATTTTCCTTTTACTATCAGAGAAAAAAAACAGGAATGGGAGGCAGCATGATATGGACTCCCTGGTTCCATCGAAATTTCCAAGATTGGGAATTATGATGGAGTTGATGAACAGTAGGAGCTTTTTGGTTAAGCCTTTTGCAAAGAATTTGAGAAGGGTTCTGCTTTTCCTCAGAGTTATTTGGAGGTCAAATGTTCCTCCTAAAATCTCCTTTCTGATTTGGTCAATTACTTTCAGAAAATGCCTCACAAAAGACAAGTTAGAATCTGGATGCATTTTATTATGTCAGCCAATCATGGTTGGATCATGCCTAGATATGTGTTAGATTTATTGTCCATCTGACCCATTAGAGGCCTTAGTAGCAGAGGAAAGATCATTTGAGAGTCGATTCCTGTGGTGGTGGTAAGGACAGTCTGGTCAGAAAGAAAGGACAGAATTTTTGAGAAGTTTGGAAATGAAGATGATATCCTTAGAAGGGTTTTGAGGAGGATTGGCTCTTGGCTATCTGCAACCACTGAGTTTGCTCACCAATCACCTTTTCAGATTTCAAATGAAAGAAGCATGTATAATATTTGAGATTGTATTAGTAATCTGATCTATTTGGGTGGAATCCCCAGCCTATAGCTTTTGCTCTAGGAGGGATTTTCTGTACTGCTTGTAAATTTTCATCAACAAAAAATTTTACTTTATCTTTAAAAAATTGCATTCCTCCTAATCAATCTTTGTTTAACTGTTATATCTATGATTAGAAGTGTTTATTTCGAAGCAGGTTGAGTTTGATCCTATCCAATGGCTGGATAAGTCATTGATACGTTTATGTTCTCGGTTTGGTGATTACCAAAAAGATAGGCCATCCACTTTCAGCTTGTCTCCACGCTTTTCAATATTTCCACAATTTATGTTCCATTTACGACGTTCTCAGTTTGTCCAGGTACATTACAGTCTTCGTAAGTTATTGTTCACCACTTTAGGTATTCTTTGGAATTTAGATCTATTTTTGTATGATTATTTTTGAGTACCATACTTGTATAAAATTCCATTTAAAATAATGGTTTGTCTATTTGGTGCAGATTTTTAACAATAGCCCAGATGAAACTGCATATTTTAGAATGATCTTGTACCGAGAAAATGTTTCCAATTCAGTTGTTATGATTCAACCATCATTGATATCTTACACATTACAGAAGGACCCAGAACCAGCTCTTCTTGATGTGGCTGCCATTGGTGCTGATAGGATCCTACTACTGGATTCATACTTTACTGTTGTTATATTTCATGGAATGACCATTGCACAATGGCGAAATGCTGGATACCAAGATCTGCCAGAACATAAGGTATTATGCACACACAGGAGAATACAATCTTCTTGCACATCATTAGCTACTAATTGAGGAATCCTGTTATGTACATCTAGTTAAGGTTTTGTGCTCATTTGAGCCTCAAGGCATCTTAAATAGTTTATCAGCATTACTTTATCTCCATTGATGCAATATGGTGAGAAGTTTTGTTTACACACTTTGAAGCCTTCAGTTACATTCTTTTTTCCTTTCCATTTTCTGTCCATTCGTTCAGTTGGGACCATCATGCAACACTAATGAGAAGATGAGAGACATAAAGTTCCTGCAGAATTAGTTCACATCCAATTTAATACAAGTCATGAAGTATGATATTTCAAAACAAGCCCTCATCTATCCATTCCATTTCTTCTGAAACCTAAAATTTGGTTGTACAAATGGAAATTTTAACCAATTATATGTTCCTTTTAGAAACCTCAAAACAGCCTTTGTTCTTGGTTCAAATAATCAAATTTTCTCTCTTGTTCTCAGGTAAAGTATTTCTTATTTTTGAAAGGATATTAGACCATCCTTATTTAGGGGATTCAAGACGATTATACTTGAGGTAAATCAACAGATTGTTTATGGAGGATAAGGGACTCTGTAGGACCTATGTAGAGGCTAGTTGTTCTTCTTGAAATTGCATCCTTCATTCCACTAGGGTCCAAGATTATCTGGTATTTTTGTAGATAGCCTTTGTAGGCAGGGAGCTTTTAAGGATAGTCTTTTTTTTTGGTAACCTGATTGTAGAGATGATGGTCCAGCTGTTAATAGTTCTTAGACAGCCTCTTTTATTTTATTTTATGTTAATGGGCCTGTTAACTATTTACCTTTATGTTTATTAACTGACACCCTATAAGGGTGTTTATGTAATTTTATGTTCTTTATTATGAATCTAATAGAAGAATCGAGGGGCTAAAGAGAGTTACAATTCTCTTTTCTTCATTGTGCTTTTCTTCCACTTCCTTCTTCTCTAGCTCTGAACATCTTTTCCTCATTTTCTGTTCTGATTTTCTTTGATTAAAGACATTGTTAACTTCTAACAATATGCATTAATGGACCCTTTGATAAATTAGTTCTTAGTTGAATTCTTTTTGGACTTTTTAACTATATTAAGTGAACTCTTTGGAACATTGAAAGAATTATAAGTCCCTATGCACAGACACATATCAAAATGAACTTGAGGGGATTCTTCTTTTTACCATCTTTCCGAAATGTGACTACAAGATCTCAAATTCTTAGGCTAGAACCTGGGAATAATTTGTAAACTTATGATTTTGATAAAACTTAATACTGAAAAGATCCATTTTCTTTGAACAGGAAAGACCCAGGTGGAAAGACAAAACATTTGCTGGTTTATTATTGTAAATGTTAGGCATTGTTGCATTTCAGGAAACTTTTTTTATCATTGATTAGGGTATTCCCTGCTTATCAGAAATGGTCGTACACAAGTCATTGCCCACTATGAGTTCTTATAAAGCTTTAGGATTTGTACATTAATTTATGCTTTAATTTGTTATCTTCTCAATCAAGTTCAAAAATAAGAAACATGGTAAAATTCAGTGTTTGTTCTAGGGTTATTTTGGTCTTTTTCTCCCTTCTTTTTACTGTTTTTTGTCTCTGTTCTTGAAGTATAGCATCAGGGGTAATATTGTAATTATATTTTTCATTATGAATGAAACATATAGGGGGCAGAAGTTTTGTCTCTCTTGGGAGAGACTGTTCAGCCCTATTCTCTTTGTTTCCCTTCTCTTCTTCCTCGTCTCTGTTTTCTTTCTTCCAGGAACTTCTATAGGCATTTTTCTGTGTTTATTTGATTTAATACAGGTCTGATAACAAAACATATTCTAAAAAACAATTTGAAAATAAGTAATATTACAAAAATCCTTGAACCCTTGTTTTTGGTAGTTGTAACTCAGACACCTTGTGCATGTTACATTTGGACATTTATACATGAATCCATGTAACCTGTTGCTAACATCCAATCTCCATAAAAGCCTTTTGGACTAGTTGATTCATCTGTTTTTATTGTAGATTTTTCTTCAATCCAGCCCAACCCATGGTTCTGATCCCCCAACCCCTACCCATCTTGTAACCCAACCTAAAATCCCCTAACTTCGAGTTGGGTTGGGATCAGGTTGGGCCCAACCCTACCATTCTCTCATCCTCTTAAAATCTCTTAAATTCTTTTGATCTTTGATTAGGATCCTAAATTCAAGTTCTATGATCATATATTGACCATGTTTTTTTATTGGTATTTTCTTATTATATGTTTTTATTGGTTCTTTTGGTGCAATAATGAAAGAATGAATGTTTCAAATGATTAGTCCATTATGAATTATGATAGATCTCCTATTGAAAATCTAAAATCATAAAATTAGGGAATGAAAATCACTAATAACAACTTGTCATTTAGTTTAGGGCTTAAGAGTTATGACAAATGGATTATGATAGTATGTTGCGGAACAATAATACATATGTACAATAGAAATAGTAGAGTCGGGTTTGGGTTGGGACCATTGGGTTGGATTGCTTGAGGGGTCAAAATGCTCAATGATTGACGAAATGGAAGCACTAGATCAATAAGAGCTTTCTAATGTAGGAAAAACAGCTTTTGCACTCAAGCTATTTCCAAAATATCCAATAGTTACCTTGACTTCTGTAGGTCATCATGCTAACTCCAGAAATGCCATTTTTGATGCACAACTTCTTTTACTGTTTAAAGATTTCTGTTTTCTTTTAACCTTTTTATATTTTGATGGATAACAGCAAGTTTTTTTTTTTTTCTCTTCCCCTTGTCTCTAACTTTTTTAAATAAATAAAAAAGAAAATATGTTAAGAGGAAAAAAGAGATGACAAAGATGGTGATTAGACATCACCCAACAAAAAAGAAAGAATACAGACCCCAACAATCCACCAACCATAAGCCCTTCCAATCAAACCCAAAATCAGCACCCAAAAATCCAAAACCCACTCAAAGCAAAAGTCCCAACAGAGCATGCCCAAGAAATAAAAATCAACCCTAACCCCTTAAGATCCAACCAACAAAAAAACTTCAATACGCAACCCAAACCCCAACAAGAACCTTCTTAACCCCCCCCCCCCCCTCCTTGACCATGATAATGCAGCCTTTGTTTCCTAGATTTATTTATTTTCTTGGTAGGACCAACCCCCACAAGTCCCACCTTTAATCTGCTGGAAACTCTTGAAACTTGGAGAATCCGGTGTTGCTTCTTGTTTTTAAACCTTCTTACTGCATTAGGCTTCTTCTAACCCAAGTATCTATTTCACCTTTTCTGTTCTGCCTTTAAGAAGACCATTCCCTGAAATTCTTCTGAGAATAAATCTATTTTATTTTCATAATACCATTTACCTCTATGTTTTCTGTCCCATTTAGAAAGAGAGTAACCAATCATTGCTCCTAAGCCAATAGTTCCAGATCACAGGTCTACCATTACTATTTTTCCTTTTTTAACCATTCTCCCATTAAATGTTTCTTTGGAAGTCATACATTAAACCACTAACTAATATTTTCAATTAATTAGCAGCATTGATAACATGATATTGTTATCCAATGCAGTTAAGTATCTTCAAGCGTTCAACCTAGTGATGCAAGGTAATTTATTGCTTCTTTCTAATATTTTAAGTTCATGTACTTTGCAGGCATTTGCCCAGTTGCTGCAAGATCCTCGTGATGATGCAGATGCAATACTCAAGGAGCGCTTTCCAGTCACTCGATTAGTTATTTGTGATCAATATGGCTCTCAGGTTATTTTTTTCTTGCCATACCAATGGCAGTGTTAATTATAAAGATTGGAAAAAATTGTTTGCAATATACTTTAGATCATCTTCTTTTATAAATTGATAACAGAAGATTTATTAAGAGTAAATAGGGTATCCATAGTATAGGAACCAAATACTAGGAACAAAAAGAAAAACTCCAAAAACCATATTAACCAGGAAAGGCCTCAAAGTCAAGATATACAATAGGTTCCATAAACATGAACCATCAAAGTTAATTGCCTCAACCAGAAAATAAGCTTCTAAAACCTCTGTTGCACCTAAGCTAGACCGGCAGAACTTAAAGTGAAATTGCAAGAAATAAAGCAATTTTAATTCACATTATCAACAAGATTACCATGGATTATCTTACTGTTTTTAATTTTGCTTATTTCATATTTGTAAATTGCTCAAAATTTGCTCCCCAAATCTGAATTATTTGATGAAAATTTCTACTGATAAAGTCAATCCAACTAGCAAAATTGATTCCTCCAATGGAAATCACACTGCTAACTTTTTTTTGTAGTTTTTCAGCACTCAGTTTTGGATCAGTTTGGCACCATATTAGGGTAATTCGAACTCTCCTTTAGGGCTGGTCGAGTTCTCCTCCTAAGCTCTGTAATAACTTATATATTAAGAGAAGCAAAGTTCTAAGGGGGTGTAATTAGACTTGTTTTAGGTAAGGAAATCATTAACATAATTATTGCTTATGCACCTCAAGTGGGTCTAGAAGAAAACATTAAAAGACAATTTTGGGAAAACATAGAAGGATTAATCCAAGAAATTCCAAATAAAGGGAATACTTTTATAAGATGAGACTTAAATAGGCATGTAGAGAAAAGAAATTTAGGATATGATATGGTGCATGGAGGATTTGGGTTTGGGGAAAGGAATGAATTAGGAGGTACAATGGGCTCATGATATGGTAATTTTAAACACCTTTTTCCAAAAGAATGATGAACACTTAATAACATTTATAAGGGGGTCAAACATAAATCAAATATATTTTTTTCCTTAGGTGGGAAAACTTGAAAGGGGAAAAGCTAGCTTAATTTAGAGATAGATTGATAATAGAAGGGAATTGAAATTTAAATGGAAAGATTAATTATGGTTGGCTTGAATTGGAAAACGATATAAAGAAAGTAGCAAAGGATGTCTTAGGAATGAAGAGGTTCAAAATATAATTAGATTAAAATGAGCATGCTATAAAGAATGACAAAAATCTAAAAATGTAGAAAACTGTGAAAAATATAAAACCATAAGAAAAGAAGTTAAAAGGAAAATAAATGAAGTTAAATGTAAGGCTTATGATGAGTTTTACCATAAATTAAGCACTAAAGAGGGAGAAAAAGGAATGTATAAACTTGTAAAGCTAAGGGAAAGGAAAGGCAGAGATGAATTAAAGATGAAGATCAAAGATTCTTGGTAAAAGATGAGGAAATCAACAAAAATAGAAAAACTATTTGGAAAAATTATTAAATGAATAGCAGGGAGAGGGGGCTAATGGAGCAGAATCTAGTAATACTAGTAGTGTTAAAAATAATATGTACCTTTGTGGAGTTAGGCCTATTGAAGTAAAAGAGACACTAAATAAGATGAAGAAGGGAAAGTCATTAGGATTTGATGGGACTCCAATAGAAGTATGAAAATGAATAGAAGAGGTAGGCTCGTTATGGCTAACAAAGCTATTTAATAAGATAGTGAAAGAAAAGAAGATGACTGATGATTGGAGAAACAATTGTATGGTGCTTTATTTAAAAACAAAGGCGATGCGATATACAAAGTTGTAATAATTATCAGTGTATTAAACTTTTGAACCATTGCCATGAAACTTTGGGAGAGAATAATTGAATAAAGATTATGACTTGAAACAAGTGAATTAGAGAACCAATTTGGATTTATGCCAAGGAGATCAACTATGGAAGCTATATTTCTTTTGAGACAATTAATAGAAAAGTTCAGAGAGAAAAAGAAAGATCCTCATATGGTGTTCATTGATATAGACAAACCATATGATAGAGTTCCTAGAGAGATAACATGGTGGGTCTTGGAAAAGAAAGGGGTTCAAAATATGTATATAGACTTAATTAAGGATATATGAGGGGGAAACAACCAATGTTAGAACATTAATGGGAGAGACTTCAAATTTTATAGTTACTATGGGTCTTCACCAAGGTTCAACACTTAGCTCTTATCTATTTGCATTGGTCATAAATGAATTGACTAAACATATTCAGGGGAAGTTCCATGGTGCATTTTTTGCAGATGACATTGTTTTAATTGATGAAACTAATGAAGAATTAAATGAAAAATTAAGCTTATGGATAAATGCTTTAGAAACAAGAGGTTTTTGTTGAGAGTGCAAGGGCATTTATGTCCTTTCATGTTTTATGTATTTGGGTGCCTATTCAAGGGCCCATTTGTAATTTTCTTCAAATGTTAAGAAAAGGCATTCTTCAGGGTGTGAACAGTAACACACCTAAGTTTTTCGACAAAACCCTTTCTTGGTATCAAAGCATCGGAAGATCGAGGAGAGCATCAACCGTTGGTCGTGATTCACAGATGAACCCGCTGACGTCAGCACGCCACCGGTTGATGTCAGCAGCCCGTACAGTCGGCGGCGTCCATTTGCGGTTTTGACACCCATTGATGTGCCTCATTTTTAGAGGAATTTTGATATACATTTCATGGAGGTTTGAAACTCTTTTACATTTTTGTTGGATTTTTTAGATGAAAATTGGCAAAAAAATACAGATTTGGAGTTTAGGGCTTGCATGCTCACATGGTGGGCTGGTTGCTGTTAAATCTACTTGCGTTTGAATTGTGGTAAATTTTTTAGATTATAGGAAGCAGTCTCAGATTTTTTGGATCCCTAAAACATTTTTGGGAATTTTTTTTTCTTCCCCTATTTTGCCGCCAACACCTTCTTTTCTTTTGTTTTATCGCTTCCCCTATTTTGCATTTGAATTGTGATTTCACCAGGCAACACATCCTTAGTGCTGATATTTTGTCGCCCTCCACAGCATATTCTTTGGTGTAGAATGAAGAAAGTAGGAGGATTGCCATGATGCAAGTTCCTATCAGTGAGCATACAACTCTTGTGTCTACAAAACCCAAACAGAGTTCTGGTAAACTTGAAGAGGTAGTTTGTGAATATTGCAAGAAGCCAAGGCACACCAAGGATAGGTGTTGGAAACTAAATCCCCACCTAAAGCTTGAGAAGTTTAAAATCGGAAAGAAGGTAAATGCTCATGTTGCTACAATTAGTCATGATTCTCAAACTCACATGCTTGAGGGAAATTCTTCTGCTTAGGCATCTACTCATGACACCTCTGATGTGATGGAAAAATTGAGAGGCATCTTGCTCCATCTTGAAAAGAATGGGTTGCCTACATCTGTTGATTCACATACACCTTCTAGTGCCTTTGCAAGATCAGGTACTACACTTGCGTGTCATGCCTCATCCTCTGGCTCTTGGATAATTGACACAGGAGCTACTGATCATATGACTGGTATGCCTTCCTACTTTACCACGTATAAACGTTTTTCAGGGAAAGGTAAGATTACTATTGCTGATGGATCTCAGACCCCAATCTCGAGTTTGGGTGAAGTTAAACTTACCAACAACCTTTCTCTGAAATCAGTTATCCATGTCCCACAACTTCATAGAAATCTCTTATTTATTAGCTCACTTACAAAATCCATAATTGTTCTAAAACCTTCTTTCCATCTTATTGTGTCCTCCAGGATCTGAGTACGGGGAAGACGACTAGCAGTGGACATGAAGCCGATGGAGTTTATCTTCTTGATCAGTCTCCAAAGTTTGGGTTAATGTGTCAGTCTGAGTCCTGTCATGATGAAAAACTAAGTCAATTGAAATTGTGGCATCACTGTCTTGGGCATGTGTCTTTTGGTTCATTGAAGTTTTTGTTTCCTAGTCTTTTTGAGCCATTGTCTAGTTCCGGTCTACAATGTGAAGTCTGTCAACTATCAAAGCAATGTAGAACCACATATTTTTGCAAGTAATAAGAGAAGTAATGTTGCTTTCCATTTAATACATACTTATGTTTGGGGACCTTATTCTATTCCATGTATGGGTGGTTATAAATATTTCATTCTTTTTGTTGATGACTACTCGTTGTATACCTGGTCGTATTTAATAAAGAGCCGAGATGAAGTTCCTTTAATTATAAAAGGCTTTTTTAATATGGTGGAGACACAATTTGAAAAGAAGATTAAGATTATTAGATCTGACAATGCCAAGGAATACTTTCAAAAGCACTTACAAACTTTCCTTGAAGAGAAATGAGCAATTCACCAAAGTTCATGTCCTCATACCCCCCAACAAAATGGGGTATTAGGGAGGAAAAACAGACATGTGGTTGAAGTTGCCAAGGGATTGTTATTCCAGATGCATGTCCCAACTCAATTTTGGGGGGATGCCACACAAACAACTGTATATCTTATTAACAAACTTCCTTAGCGGACCTTTCATCTCCAGTCTCCTCATCAGCTTCTTCTTCCTGATGAGGATACCTTCCATCTTCCTCCTAAGGTCTTTGGGTGGGTCTGTTTCGTCCATGACATGAGTCATTCTAGGTTGAAATTTGATCCAAAGTCTGTTAGGTATGTCTTATTGGGATATTCTTCAATCCAAAAGGGGTACCATTGTTATGACCCTCGCTCTGGAAGAAGGTATGTGTCCAAAGATGTTACATTCTTTGAGCATACTCCCTTCTTTTCCTCTTCTCATCCTTCTCTTCAGGGGGAAAATGCTAGTGAAGATCAAACTCCTTTTTGTATGTCGATTCCTGCTCTAGCTGTAATGGGTATTGTCAATCCTTCTATGCCTCCTTGTGGTGGTAGTAATACTCCCGTGCCTCCTATTCCTCGGTCTTGGCACCAGTTATTTGTTAGATAGAAAAAGAGGATGATTCTTGAGATTGAATGTCCATTACAATCCGACTTCCCAAACTTAGGTAATCTAGATTCTGAACCTCTTCTTGTTTCTAATACTTGTAGTGAACCTGTTATTGAACCTTCTAGTGTGGTTTCTGACCTTAACCTTCTTATTGTCATTCATAAAGTAAAAAGGACATGTGCTAAATATCCTATCTCAAATTATGTTCTCTTTTGGTACCTTATCTCCCTCTTATTGTTTCTATATTTCTTCCATTGCTTTTGTTTTTATCCCTCACAGTGTTACTAAGGCAGTGTAGTTCCCTCATTGAAATGATGTTGTGAACCAAGAAATGGAAGCGCTTGAGAAAAATCAGACATGGGAAATTGTTTCATTTCCAGTGGGCAAAGTTCCTGTTGGATGTAAGTGGGTTTACATAGTGAAGCATAAAGCTGATGGATCAATTGAAAGGTATAAAGATTGGCTTGTGGCAAAAGGGTACATTCAATCTTACGACATTGATTATCAGGAAACCTTTGCTCCAGTAGCCAAGATGAATTCAATTCGAGTTATCATGTCTCTTGCTACCCATTATTCTTAGCCCTTATATCAAATGGATGTTAAGAATGCCTTCCTTAATGGCGACCTTCAGGAAGAAGTTTACATGGAACTTCCTCCTGGAGTGAACATCCCTAGGAGTGAAGGAAAGGTTTGTTGTTTGAAGAAATCCCTTTATGGTCTTAAATAGTCCCCTAGAGCTTGGTTTGACAGATTCAGAAAAGCTATCTTAAAAATTGGCTTTTCTCAATCTCAAGCTGACCATACCTTGTTTATCAGGAGAGCAAATGGAAAAGCGACTATGTTGATAGTATATATTGATGATTGTTTTCATAGGGGATGATATCTCTGGAATTGCTGAACTAAAGTCTTTTCTTGCTATTGAATTTGAAATTAAAGATCTTGGAAATATTTAGTATTTCCTAAGGATTGAAGTCACAAGGTCAAAGAGAGGCATTTATGTTTCTCAGAGGAAATATGTCCTTGATCTGCTTCAGGAAGTAGGGAAATTGAATTGTAAACCAATTGAAACTCTGATTGATCCCAATCATAAGTTGGGAGTTGATGATGGAGATGTCCTTCCTAACAAAGCTATGTATCAAAGACTTGTTGGTCACCTTCTCTACTTGTGTTTGACTAGACCAGATATATCATATGTTGTGAGTGTGGTTAGCCAATATATGCACAAGCCTAGATCATCTCGTATGCAAGCAGTGAATAGAATACTTGCCTATTTAAAATGATGTCTAGGAAAAGGAATGTTATTTCTAATCATGGGCATCTCAAGGTAGAGGCTTATTCTGATGCTGACTAGGCAGGTTCTATTGATGGTAGGCGGTCTACTTCTAGCTATTGTACCTCGGTGGGTGGTAATGTTGTATCTTGGAGAAGTAAGAAACAATCAGTTGTGGTCGATCTAGTGTAGAGGCAGAGTACAGAGCTATGGCTCGTGGAGTTTCCAAATTGTTATGGCTGAAGAACTTGTTGACAGAAATGGGAGTGTAGATTGATACTCCAATGATATTATATTGTGACAATCAAGCAGCCATAAACATAGCCCACAGTCTTGTTCAACATGATCATACAAAGAAGTTGATCAACATTTCATTAGAGAAAGAGTTGCCGGTGGAGAGATTTGTTTACCTTTTGTGAGGTTTGAAGATCAATTGGCTGATTGTCTTACTAAAGGTCTCTCCAAATCAAAGCTTAACAACAATTTGAACAAGCTGGGCATGACAAATATCTATGCTCAACTTGAGGGGGATTGTTGAGAGTGTAAGGGCATTTATGTCCTTTCATGTTTTTTTTGTATTTGGGTGCCTATTCAAGGGCCTATTTGTAATTTTCTTCAAATGTTAAGAAAAGGCATTCTTCAAGATGTGAATAGTAACACACCTAAGTTTTTCGACAAAACCCTTTCTTCTTCCTCCTCTTCTTCTTGATTACTTTAACTGTTTTAAAATAAGTGGGACTAAAACAGAGTATATGACAAGTAAATTTAGTAATAATAGGAGTGTAAATCAAGATACACTTAGGATTGGAGACCAAGAGATAACTTAATGTGACCATTTCCAATACCTTAATTCAATAGTTCATATCGAGGGAGAGATTAAAGAGGATGTCATAAAGAATTAGAGCAGGATGAGAAAAATGGAGGGGGTGCATTTGGACTTTTATGTGATAAGAGAATACCACTTAAATTAAAAGGAAAATTCCATAGAGCAGTTGTAAGGCCAGCTATGTTGTATGGAGTGGAGTGTTGGGCAGTTAAGAAACAAAATGTCCAGAGGAAAATGAATGTGGCAGAAATGCAAATGCTAAGATGGATGAGTGAAAAAACTAGAAAGGATAGGATTAAGAATGAAGTTATTTGTAAGAACCTAGGAGTAGCTCCAATAGACGATGAAATGAGAAAGAGTAGACCAAGATGATTTGGGAACGTGCATAGTGTTGTAACGAGTGGTTGTGTAGTTGTGGAACTGTTTGTCTTATTTATATTTCAGTCCCTTTCACTGTTATGGGCCTAGGTTAGTTTTATTGTTTTATTGTCTAGGTGTCCCATTACTAATTAGGGGCATTCTAGTCTTTTTATGTAATGTTCAAATCTTAATATAAATTAAGTTCTATGGTCGGCTAAGAATACTTTTATTGCCCATTCATTCTTCTCTACTCTTCTCTTCTTCTCTAGAAAATCAGCAAACATGGTATCAAAGCAAATCAACCTGATTGTTGGTTATTTCTAGCATTTTTTTCTTCTCTTTTCTCTACTGTTTTCTTTTCTTTTTTTTTTCTGGCTCTTGTGAAGAAGCCCAAGGTCTGATTGTTGCTTACAAAGAGGTCTGTATCTAGGGTTTCTCTTTGGGTGTAGGGACAAAGAGTGGTTTTCTCAGTTTGTGTATGCCCTACTAGAACTTGTTTACAGCAGCCAGTAGCCATTCGACTACTAGAGAGATCTGTTTAGAACAAATCTAGAAGGAAGACTGAGTGGACAGTCCTAGATTTATCCTGGAGGGTAGTTCCTGGTGCCAGCCAATTACAATTGTGAGGTTCTAGAATTTGGAAGGTGTAGGGAGGCTGCAAGTGTTGTTTTGTCCAGCAAGGTACTATTATCAGTTCGGCCTCAGTTTCAGCAGGGTATTGGCCCATTTTTTTTGGTGGCAGCAGCTGTTGTGTTGTTGTTAGAAAGGAAGCATGTCAACAACCTCAGGAGAAGAGTCTTCTAAGGACAATAGGACTGTTGCAAGAGCCTCAAACCTTGACAATCCTAACCTGCATAGTCTACAAATAACGAATGTGTTGCTGGATGAATATAATTTCAGAGAATGGTCTGTTTCATTCAAGTTATTCATTACCCCCCGGGATCTTATGGGCTATATAAATGGAAAGAAGAAGGAACCCAAGGAGGGGGGTGCTGAATTCTCGACTTGGTGTAGGGAAAATGCTATTGTTATGCCTTGGTTACTTGCTTTAATGACTCTGAGGGTAGCAAGAACTGTTCAACACTTTCCCACAACCTTCAAGATCCAAGAAAAAGTGTATAAGACCTATGGATCGCAGAAGAACAATGCAAGAATTTACAGGTGAAGACAAGATATTGCTTCCTTAAAGCAAGGGGATATGTCTATAGCAACTTACATTGCAACTTTGGTAGGGTTGTGAGAGGAATTAGATCATCATCTTGTGATTGAATGGGAGAATGCAAAAGATAAGGAGAAGCATGATAAACAGACAAAGGAAGATAGAGCTTTTAAGTTCCTAGTTGGCATAGACCCTATATACAAAGGGATAAGATCTCAAATATTGGGAAGGGATGAACTTTTGGATTTATAGCATGTTTGTTATCTTGTATGGAGTGAGGAAGTTAGAAGGAAAGAGATGCAAGTAGACACCCATTTGTAGTGTGTTGAGCATTCATCTTTGATTTCTTCAAGCCAAAAGGAGGGAAGGGTTCAGACAAAAAGCACCTCAAGTGCACACATTGTGGGGGTGAGAGATACAAAAGAGATGTTTTCTTAGTAAAAGTGATTTTTTCTTCTAAGGACAGGCACACTTTGTGAAGATATTTGCATT